TTTTTAAAATTCAAGTTTGATTTGTAAAGTTGTACGTTTAGAACAAAAGCGTAACTTTAGTTAAAGTAATAAGGATACAATTAAGCGATATTAAAAAATAAATGTGTGATCAATCAAATATGGTATCCAAATGGATACTAACACAATTTTATAAAAGTAATTGATATCACTAAATGATTCATTGTTAAAACGTTATGTAAATATGTAGAGATTTTGTAATATTTTAGTTAAATTTAAATTTGTAACATATGTATTTGTAAGGTCATGTTAAAAAAATTAATGTAAATATATTGAGATTTTTAATATGCATATAAACATAATTGAAATGTTTTGATTGGTTGATTTAATTGATATGTTCCTCTCACATTTAGGATTTTCTTGTGAGCGTCTTCACGATTAATATACACTGGATTAGTGAATTAGACTTAAGAAACAAGGAGACGCATCTCATGATCATCAGTTGGGTTTAATTCGGTTTGAGAATAAACAAAAACCGTTGGGTTAAAATTGTGATTCGGTATGGTTCTGTTATATTTCGCACTCCTAGCTAAAACCGGAAACGTATTCCATCTTCCCCGTTATTCCCGTCGATTAGGTTATCTCACCTCCGATCACCGGCGTGGGACGTCACCGTCGCTAGCCGGAAAATTAACTGCGATTGTAATTTCTCTCTTTATGTCTCGGCCCGTCGATTTGGGTATTGTACTATGTTATTGGAATAGTTGATTTCAAATCCAGTCGATTACTTGTTCTTTAGATTCTAGGTTGATTCTTCAACTGTTATTTGTTATCGATTCCGATTTCTGATGAATTTTTGTTTTTCCTTTGCACTTTGTTAGATTCGTAAGGCGGAGATTTTGGGATTTCTGTAGAATAGGACTTACGCATAAGCTTTTGGAGCTGATGAGAATCAGTGTCTTGTCGAAAATGCAGCGGAGTTTCTCTATTGAATTGCCTTCACTGGTTCCTCTGCAACTTCCATCTCGTATGTAAGTAGTTCATTGTATATGTTTGCCATTTTCATTTGATAGTATCGAATTCTGATAAGTTCTTGTCATGGCTGGATTCTTGGTTTAATAGTGATGAAGCTTATCTTCAACATACTTGTCAGTTTTACAATCTACATTTGGTTTCGTTTTATGTTTTGATGATTTCTTAAGTGTGTTATTCATTTCATGTAGGGAGACTCACCTATGGTATATTCTACCAGATGAAGTGAAAAATACATCTCTTCTAAAACACTACTCTCAACTTTTGTCACCGTCCGAGAAAGATAAAGTTGTTCGGATGCGAGGCAATGTGCTTAAGAAGAATGCTTTGCTTGCCCGCACCTTGGTTCGGACTACCATTGCGAGATGTATGTTAATTCTCTCATAGTTTCCATCTAATATCAATCATATGCCCTCTTTTCTTGCTTCAAGACACTGGAGTTTCCCATTAGGTTCTGTTAATTGATTTTCTTAGTCTCCTAAATCCGGCCTGTCTATAGGATGATGGTAGGTAAACGTGTCACCTGAATTCGTGAGGTTTTTACGCTTGGTTATTACCTGCAGAAGTATAATATTCTCAAAGAAATTGTAGATTTTAATGAGTTTGCAGGGCATTAATTGTAATGGTTTTATTACTAGATCAGACAAACAATGCGGTCGATCCTCGGTCCTTGATGTTCAAGAAGAATATGTATGGGAAGCCTGAGGTGAGACAATTATCTGAGATTAGACTAGAGTCATAGTCTGGGTTTAAGACAAAAATTTCAAGTGTTCTTGTTTGAATTCCTTACAGGTAGATTGGCAGAATCATAAGAACTGTAATAACCCACCATTGCATTTCAACCTTTCCCACACAGATTCATTAATTGCTTGCGGGGTGACAGTACATGTTCCGGTAAGTCTTCTACTCAGGCAACTACATACGGTTTTGTCCAAAATTAGTGGTGTCAATTGTTTCTTCTTTTAAATTTAAACAGTTGCAGTGTATTACGAATGTAGGTTGGTATTGATGTTGAAGACAAGGAAAGGAAGATAAAACATGATGTCTTAGCATTTGCAAAAAGATTTTACTCTACTGATGAAGTGAACTTTTTATCAACTATACCAGACCCAGAAGTTCAGCGAACGGAATTTATTAAGTTATGGATTCTTAAGGTAGTTCCTACTTACAACAGATCTACTTAAGAGCCTGGAAAATTGTTACTTCTCAAAAGTTGAAAACTCTTGTGGTGATTCTATATCCAGGAGGCATATGTGAAAGCATTAGGAAAAGGCTTCTCTGCTACACCTTTTAATACCTTCACAATTCAGTCGAAGGCTGGAACAGAAGGAGGCTATAATCTTCGCGAGGTTTGTTTAAGACTTAAATCAAGCTCTGGAATTGAATAGTGTGTTTACCAAACGTGACTAATTGTTGCATTGTACCCTTCCTTAAGTTAAGACCCTTAAATGTTTTCTGTAGACATCTGAAATGGCAGTCAATTCACTGGAGGAGACAAAGAAATGCAACGGAGAATGGAAGTTTGCCCTTTTGGAGTTGGCTGATTCTCATTATGCTGCAATCTGTATTGAAGATGATCAAGCTAGTGAAGGTGCAATTCCAGTTGACATAGCTCTTGACACTGAAAAAGTTTATTTAGTGTTTTCTTCTTCACAATCTTTTTCCTTCTTGCAGAATCTCCTATGAGGGTGATTGTCCGGAAAACCATCCCTTTTGTAGAAGATGAACTTATTTCTGAAAGCAAACTTCTGTAGTTAAGTGCAGCCTTCAACATTCAAATTTTTGTAAGCATTTTGGTTTATGTACATCCCTTGTAGTACATTCCGCGCAAGCGAAATATCAAATCTTACTATCTGAGCATCGTGTTTGTGAGACGCTTGGAAAATCACCAGTAATCGTTGCACGAGCAGACCCCATCTTTGAAATAGTGGAACCGAGATGCATCTCTTATAACAAACCGGCGGTCTACAATCTTGCTAACCATCTTGATGAACACATGACAATCTTTACAAACCCTCAGGTTCTTTATGACAAGAATCTCTGCGCCTGGACTAGTGTCGAGAATCCCAAATGCTACTGCTAACCTCTCGCTATGCTCGCGTCTACTGTTCAAAACCTCTTCGCCTCTATCACTGTCCGTGTTTCCTGCAATCTCCATCACAGAAGTCTCTAACTCATCCAGCATTCTATAGACTTCTTCTGTTTGCTCGTGACTTCTGTCGCCAACCAAAAACAAGTGAACTCTTCCCTTGTGTTCCACATAACTATACCCAGGCTCTTTCTTGAATCCTCTCTTTCTCATCATTAGGCGGATTCTCCATATTCCCTTCTGATTCTTCGCYTCTGAATATATATTTGACATCAATACATAATAGCCAATGTTCATGGGTTCACARTCAATCACCTTTGCAAAAYCTAACTRTGCCATATCCACATTCTTATGGATTTTACAGGCACCCAATAGTGCGCCCCAAACAGCACCATCCGGCTCAACACGCATTGATTCTATAAACTCAATGGCTTCATCTAGTCGACCAGCTCTTCCAAGTAGATCAACTACGCAAGAGCAGTGTTCAGGGCCAGGTTCCAAGTTATACTCTCTCTTCATCGCACCAAATAACTCTAAACCTTTATCCGTTAGCCCTGAATGGCTACACGCAGATAAAACCATCACAAAGACTGCCTTGTCGGGTCTTATACCGCTTTTTATCATATCATCGAAAAGCTTAAGCCCAGTCTCTCCCATTCCATGCATCCCATAGCAACCTATCATGGCGGTCCACGACACTAAGCTTTTTACAGGTATGATGTCGAAAACAGCACGTGCCTTTGCCAAATTACCGCATCTAGCATACATACTGATCAATGCATTGCTAACAAACACATTTGATACAATACCACTGGCTCCTATTAGCTTTTCAACTTCCTGACCAATCTTCTGAGCTCCAAGATGAGCACAGGACGACAGAACACTAACCAATGTAACAGAATCAGGACAAACACCCGCTAATTTCATCTTCTCGTAAAGTTCCAAAACATCATTAGCTAGCCCGTTCTGTGCATATCCAGAAATCACCGCATTCCAAGTAATCAAACCCTTCACAGGCATTATATTGAACAACCTCCTACCTGATTCTACCGACCCGCATTTCATGTACATCGTGATGAAACTATTCAGAACAGATATCTCAGAATCTGTTCCTCCTTTAACGCATTGACCATGAAGAGACATCCCGAACCAAAGGAAATCAGGAACCGAGCAAACCGGGACAAGTCCAAGCATTGTAACTGAATCCACATATACACCAAATTCCTTCATCCTCCGAAACATATACGCAGCATCAGATACCTTCGAGTTTGCTGTGTACCCAGATATCAAAGCGTTGTAACAAACACCAAGCCGACGTGAGTGAGGATTTTCGTCGAACACTTTGCGTGCATCCTCGACCAAACCACATTTACAGTACATCGAGATCAGAGAAGTCAGCACAAAGGGCTCAGCCTCGCATCCTCCTCTGATGACATGACAATGTAGCTGTTTCCCGGAGACGGGGAGCGAAAGCGCGGCACATGACTTGAGAATGAAAGGGAAAGAGAATGCGTCTGGAGAGGAACCTGAACGGAGCATTGACCTGTAGAGAGAGATCGCTTCACCGAACAAGTATTGATACGCGAGCTCTCTAAGACGCACGTTCCATGGCGACGGAGCCACCGCAGCGACGCCGGAGCTCCGTACAAGGCTTCCGGTTGCAGCGACGGTCATTGGTTCTCAGCCGGTTCTCACTTGTTTGGCTAAATGTATGATTCTGTACTAAATGGGAGTATGGGCCAAATTTATGGGCCTGGCCCAAATATTTGTGACTTGGTAAGTGCTCAAATTGGTAAGAATAGACTTATACGTGGAACCAAACAGGTAATAATCTGATAGACCATTTCTCTTTCTTCTCAAATAACTTTTGTCCATCTGCAAATCGTTGCCGCCGCTATTTCCTCGTGATTCAGATTGAGCTACTG